TTTACTCCTTTGATTAATCCGTACATTGAAAATGACTCAAACGTAGTCGAAACGTCTGTTTGATTTTTGTATTTAAATTGTATTTAAATCGTTTATTACATATACATATATTATAATGGTTCTGTGCCCTTTATTATTGATATTGTTTTATTTTATTATTTAAAAACATTTATATATGTAATATAATATTAAGTAAAATTCTATTAAGGACTAAAAAAGAGCCAAAACAATTTATAATATTCTTCCTTATCTTATGTCTTCCTTTTAGCATCAATTGTTACTTTTAATAATTGTAATGTTATTTCATCATGCAATTCCGGGTCTATTTCACGGAGTTGGGCTATCATGTTTCCAATTATGGTTGGTTTATCAAGTGCAGCTTGTGCAGGAGGTAACATTTGTTTTACTTGGTCCATATTAAAAGATATCGGCAATGCCAGGGAATCGGCAATCCGGTCTAATGCACTGTCTTCGCTCAAGCGACGTTTTCCTATAAAAATATTCACACCTAATATTTTTCAACACTATAAAGTCATAATTTTTACGTTCTTTATAAAAGTTTGTATTTTATTTGAAATATAACCTTCTAATACATTTTATTAAAATGAACATACGTGATACATAACCAATGCTGCTGCTGCTATTGCTGTTGTCACAAATTGAGCTGGCCATGTCCATTGAATCATTACAGTCTGAATCAATATTGCTGATAGTTCTATAATGAAAAGAAAATTTGATTATTACATACACACACGTATATAGTAGTATTGTTCGTTTTGTCTCTCGGAAGCTGCTCGAAATCGCTCCGAACGAACCCAGCACATTTGATAATAAGCTTTTAGACATGTAAAACACTTGTAGTGTTCTTTTAGAATCTAAACGAGCATTAAAAGAACACTACAATTGTTTTACACGTTTAAAAGCGTTCTATCAAGTACGCTGGGTTTGTTTGGAGCAACTCCGACCAGCTTCCGACAGAGAAAACGAACAATACTAATAATTAGTATTATTATCATTAATATATGTATACTTGCTCTGTAGCTGAAGATCACGCAAAAAATTCATACGTTGCAAATGTATCCACGGTCTTCTTCCACTTGGTGCAGCAGATCCACTCGCTGCTTGCTCCTTCTTCGAATAAATTCGAAAAGAATCCGATAGTGACTTCCACTTCTTTTTAATGGAATCAATGGAATATGTTCCTAAAAGAAAACATTCATAATTCGATATACGTCAATGTTTTTTCACTCAAATGGATTTGATTCAACTTCAAAATTTTTATTGATACGAGTGTAGAATTGTTCAATAAACAAATATTGAGTGCTTAATAGTTCAAAATAATACAATTTATAATTTACAATTTTAGTCAAAATAATACAATTTACCGCCAAGAGCCGTAAACACTTCTTCCCAGAGTTTCTTTTTTATCTGTGGGCTGCGTTCAGTCAGAGGTAGTTTGAAGTTCCATAAGGCAGGTCGTCGAGACACTTCATCAATCAGTTGCTCTACCATGACTAATTTATTTGCTTCGAAATCCGTTACCTGCCGTGAATCGTGCTGTGAATTTACAACTTTTTTACGTGGCGTATTTGTAACAACGACAGCCTCAGTACCATCAGCCATCAAACTCTTGCGGACTATAGCTCTGTCCTCTACACACACATAATAATATTATTAAGATTTTATTCGGACCGACAGGAAATATATAAAATACTAAGTATAAGCTATTATAGTTAATCACAAAATCACAAGTCAAAATAATCTAGAAATTTCTACTCATTACACCGAGGGTAACAGTACAAATTGTCATCAATGATATAATGATTGTATTCCTCAAAGCATGGATGTTGTTCCAAATCATCCTTGTTATTAAAAATAGTTTCACAAACGCCACATGTATATGAAATATCAAAATTGTTCTAAAATACAAATAAATGTTTAGTACTACATATGCTATAAATATATGTTTATATAAATAATGATACAAGAAAGGGTTACAAGCCTATAATAAATAAATGTTATAAATTTAAATTTAAATTTATGTTATAAATGTTATAAATTTATATAATAAATGTTTAATACAAAATATAACCAACTATTGAAATATTTTACATTACAAGTCTAATAAATCATAAACAAATCGTAAAATAAATAAGAAATTAAACATATACGTAAGTTTCGAGCCGATTGGGTCATTTTCAATGATGATATTAGAGAGATTAAATAATAAAGTATCAATTATAAATTTGTCAATTTTAAATTACATTAAAAATTGTAAAGGAAAATATAAAAAAATAACATTAAATATTAAGTAAGTCGTAGCCCTTTATTTCTTGTAACATTATTTATTGAACGATAAGGTTAGAAAGGCATGTACCACGAACGCCGGATATCGTAAGCGCAGCGAGAGAACCAATCAGCATCGCGGAAAAGCGGCAACAATAAACTTCGAGAGATGCGAGTAATCGACCTGACATCTCCTTTTTTAGATAGGAGGATAATTTTCTAGGATTTAGTTAAAAGTTATTTAATGTTCGCGATACGGGAAGAAGTCGAGGTA